TATGAATGTATTTTAACTATAACTCTGTAACATTCTTCTTCTTTAATATTTAACTGGGCAGATTCTCTCTGGTAAGAACTATGGTGTTGGCTGTTTATTTGTAATATCGGGTAGAATACCTTAGTAGTGCTAGTCATATATTTATCTGGACAAGGGGATAAAGATATATGTTAGTTCTTGGAAGAGGTGACACAGGGATATTACATTCACTATTAATACACAACGCAGAGTGGATTTCTCTCAAAAGGATACCAATTGGAAGTATTGGTGGTGAGAGAAGGACTATACAACAATGGGGACCTTGAGGCACCAGGGGACACAGACACTAGGGGACACTGGGAGACCTGGGGACACTGAGACACTTGGGGACACTGGAAAACATGGGGACACTAAGACACTAGGGGACACTGAAACATGGGGACGCTGAGACACATGGGGATACTGTGAAACATAGGGACATTGGGAGACACTGAGATATTAGGACACGGAGACACTATGGACACAGTGTCCCCATGTCTCCCAGCCAGTGTCCTCAGTGTCCTCATGTCTCCCAGTGTCTCCAAGTCTCCCAGCCAGTGTCCTCAGTGTCCTCATGTCTTCCAGTGTCTCCAAGTCTCCCAGTGTCTTTGTCCCCATGTCTCTTCCTGTCCCCAAATGTCTGTGTGCCCATGTCTCCCAGTGTCCCCATGTCTATGTCCACAAGTGTCCCCATGTCTCCCAGTGTCTCCAAGTGTATGTCTCCCAGCCAGTGTCCCCAGTGTCTCCATGTCTCCCAGGGTCCCCTAGTTTCTCAGTGTCCCCTAGTCTCCCAGTGTCTGTGTTCCGATGTCTTTCAGTGTCCCAGTGTCCCCAAATGTCTGTCTCCCAGCCAGTGTCTCCATGTCTCCCAGTGTCTCCCAGTGTCCCCTAGTCTCTCAGTGTCCCCTAGTCTCCCACTGTCCCCTAGTCTCCCAGTGTCTGTGTTCTGATGTCTTTCAGTGTCCCCATTTCTCCCAGTGTCCCCAAATGTCTGTGTCCCTGTATCTTCCAGTGTCTCCATGTCTCCCAGTGTCCCCATGTCTGTATTCACAAGTGCCCCCAAGTGCCTCAGTGCCCCCACGTCTCCCCATATTCCCAAGTGTCTCAGTGTCCCTGGGTCTCTCAGTGTCCCCATGTCTCACTGTGTCTCACTGTATCCTAGTGACATGGGGACACAGTGAGACCGAGACCTCTCTGAATTGGAAACCCTTCTACGTAACATTAATCTGACACAGGAGTAGTATAGTCAAAAATTCTTATAAATGTAAAAGCGGCCAGGATGGTTTCAAATTTACATAGGTTTTCATTTAGTTTTAGAGCTTCATGACGAACAGAATTTCTAAAATCAGATGAACTACTTACATGCTTCAGAACAAGGATGAGGTCAGAATATAATTCCTCAGAGTGGTTTTCATATGTTCCGCAAAGTTTTCGAAGGGCTCTGGCTTTGCTTGACCACCTGGTAGTACCAATTTTATCAAGTCTTTTCAGTTTAGCACTTCCAGTCTTGGCTTTCAGCTGGTCTTCCCAAATTTTGATCCTTTTGTAGGACTCAGAGAAAAAGGTGGACAAGTTACCAAGAAGTCCAAACAAACTCACTGCTGGAACACATACACTGCTTGCATCACATATAACAAGATTTAGGACATGAGCATGGCACCACGTATGAATGTGACTAGGACACACTTCTGTCATCAATGCTTGCAATCCTGTATATGTGCCACTCATGTTAGCAGCTCCATCAAAGGAATCACCAATACACTGCTCCAAATTCAGTCCAATGTCAGACAAAGAATCTCTTAGCAAATCATGCAAGCCCTTGCTGCTGGAGTCCTCAACATTCAGAAGGCGTACCAATCGCTCTTTAGCTTTATCTTCCACAACATATCGCACAACAATGGCACATTGATCATGTGCAGAGACATCTTGAGTAGAATCCATTTGTACCAAAAACATCCCTGCATTGTTAACTTCCTTAACAATGTCTTCTTTAATCATATCTCCAATGATTGTAAACAATTTAGTTATAGAGGACTTGCTCAGAAAAGTTACAAATTTTCCTCGCCCTTTTTGAGATGGGTCACGGTTTTTGGCCACTTTCGTTACTTTTACCAAATGGTCTTTTAGGACTGGGCTATATTCCGCAAGGAGTTTCACCGCCTCCAAAAAATTTCCTCGGTTTTCAAGACGGTCATCATCAAAGACATCAGCTACAGATTCTGAATGGCTGCTTCTGTATGGCAATTCTTGGATTCCAATAAAAAAAACAACATCAATGATGTTGCTTAGAACAGTACGGCGCTGAAGTACCTGGTTGTGCCTCATAGAAAGCTGGTCAACGGAAAGTTTGTGCTTGATCGATTTGGCTTTAATATTGATCATATAGGCTTCGCTAGCAAGTTTATGGCACTGGGACTGCTCATGCTCGGTAAGTCTTGTTGTAATATGTCTCCAGTCATTACAACCCTGAATCCAATGAGTATGATGATATTTTTCTGCACAATACATAAGGCAAATTGAACAGTGCAGGGTCTTCTTTTTGCCATTGTAAGTAACCCATTTTCTATTACTATTTGATCCTTGTATACCTTTTCGGAAGTAAACAAGGTTTCCATTGAATGGGATGTCCTGAGTAGGTTGTTTAGGATGAAATTCCCAGAACATTTCCATGGAGATTCCAGCCTTTCCCAAATCATGGGAATGAAGAAAGAAATCCTCTGGGGACGGTGATTTTTCCCATAGCGGAGACAATGCAGTCTACTTCCTGGGCATTTTTATAGGAGGTTCTCTCTCTTTGGTCTCTTCAGCTAAAACACATACATTAGATGTTTCAGAAACAGAAGTTTCAGTCTCCACTGGCATTCCACTTGCTACATCCTGCTCTGGGTCCGTTTTCTTTTGAAAAAATTTGTGGATTTTGCTTGTTGATTGAAGTGGAAAAATCAATTAAAGTATTGATTATTTCTTTGTGTATCTGCCCCTGGCCAAATCAATGAAACAATGCGTGCACGCTCCCTGAAGTAATTCACACCAGACACAGGTTCTAGGTTGTTGAATAACTTGAGGCAAGTTTATTCAGAGGGGACGGCAAGTCCCTTTTAAAGCAAAATTACATCATAAGCATTGTCAGAGATAACATGGACTAATACATCAATAATTGGTTAGGTGTTAAGTGGTTGCTTCAATGCTCTGCCTACTGTAGGTGATGTCACCGGGGCCATGAGAATCTCCCACGGTTTCCCGGCGCCATCTTGGTGCACGAGGTAGTTAGTTAATGTTAGGAGGGAGAAAGGAAGGGGGAGGGGGAAGGAGCTAGAAGCTTCCAGCAGCCATCTTGATTATAACGTGTGTGCTTAGCTAT